CAAAATCAAAACCAAAACCCTTTCCTTTTTATATTGTGAGCTCCTCAAAGGCAGGGACCACATCTCTTCTCTTTATATCTCCAGTGCTTCATATGATGTGTGATGTAAAGTAAGCGTAGACACATTTGTTGAATAAGTAAGAGATATGTTAAGTTTTTCAGATGGCCATTAAACAACTTTCAACTGCAAACATGAAATAAAAATGACAAGTTTCCTATTTTTTATAAATTGCATTTGATAAATTCAGTGTGGACATCCTGGATATCTCATTCTAATCAGAAATTGTAATGATTGATATGATAGATAGATAGATTGACAGATAGATATAGATAGGCTGACTTTTGTATAAAATGAACATGCTTATAAAGACAGTCACAGAAGTGTACAGTTATGCACAGACAAACCATATTCATAAAGAAATTATCTATGTATAGATCCATAGCAAGGTGATCACAGCCACGACATCCCACCAGGTCAGTCTGGTTACGAAGTGGGTGCTGATTCCATGACATTATACTGCATTTTGTTACTTCTTAAGAAGGAAAAACAGTATTCAGACGGTGAAGTATTTTCAAATAAACTATAAGTGGTAAAACATTGACCCATCTTGGGAAACTCGCAAAGACAATGAAAAGAGTGTATGTTATTTTCTGTTAGTAAGGAATCACAGCCTAATAAGCTTCTTTTTGACAATCTTTGTTTTCTTGAAGGAAACATAATTCTCAGAGTCTAGCCATGAAGGCTGACCCAGTACCTTGTCAAGGAGTTTCAGAGTTCTACCTTAAGCTACTGATAACTTATTGAACTTTTAGCAGCATTCAAGAATTATTTTGGTCCTACTTTGGTATCATGAAGTAACTTAATACTTGGCTCATGTTGTGACTTGTTTGCAGATGTAACTCCTCCACAAACATCTGGTTATATAGAAGTCACTGATCTCCAATCAAAAAAACTCCGATATATCCCTATTCCCAGGTAATCCATTTCACCTTTGTTCTTAGCGTGTCATTAAAAAAAAGAGAAAAAAAAGAGTACATTCTTACTAAGTACTCTGAATAAACGTATGCTTTTTGCTTCCTTAAATAGCAATTACTTTTTTCCAGTTACAGTTGGTTTATATCTTGCTGTTCTGCATTCTTTACTGGCATTTTTATTTTCATTTTGGAAAAGTATTCAAATGTTACATAGGTATAAATCTAACAGCCTTCAAGTCTTTGTTCTTTTTTGTTTGATCTGTTCTAGTGATAAATTTTTCTGTATCTGAAATAGCATTTTTAGTATTGCAGAAATTTTAATACTTATTAAATTTATATATTAGTTTTCTGAAGTAAATGTGTTCAAAATGTCAAAAGAACTTAAATAGCATTTTTTAAATATTGTTTTTAAGTATGTTTTTGTGCATCTGCAGTCATGAAGGTCATACAATAACCAAAGGATTCCAAAGATTTAGAGTGGGACCCATTACTATTCACTGCTTTTATTATTGTCTAGAGATAGAAGCAAAGCACTTAAACTGGCTAGACCTAGCATATAGAAGCAGAAACAATAAAGCTTGGTTTCTGCCCTTAAGGAAGACAGGTGTTCTCACCTGTAGCCCATCACTTTCTGGGTATATCAATGCTTTATCTTCCTCTCTCAACCTAAGCTTGCATCTGCTTTGGTCTCCTTAGCCTGGGTTCCTTTTTTCCTTTCTTTGCCATCCAGACCAAAACGTCTTTCCTCTCATCTTCTTACCATACTTTGATCTAAATTGAGATCATTTTCCCTGCTCTCATGCACTCCCTCATGTGCAACATAGCCCTCACAACACAGTGGTTAAAATCTTGCTTGGAAGCAGAGACACCTGGAGGGCCTTCCAATGTCAGAGGAAGGCCATGGACACTGGAACCTATCAGTTAGCCAAAATGTCACCAGGCCATCTCCAATGCCCAGAAGAAAATAGCTCAGCATAACAGCCCAAAATAACTCAGAAACACAACTTCATTTCTTAAGACACTTTAATCAGACTCAGAAAATATGAAAAATAAAACCATTATTCAAAGAAATAGAAATATGACTTCTTGGTTTAATAAAAAGCCAAGAAGTCATATTTTAATCATTTGAAAAGATTTCTTATTCCATCTTAATTGTATGTTCATTAAAGAACATCTTTTTTTAAGCATTTCTAAAACACTGACAATTTTTTCCAAGATTTCCCTTAATTTCTCCCTCACCAGATTTTTATTTCAGAGTTTCTCTCTTTTAACTTTCTGTATGAGCCACATTATACCTGCCATGGAAAGAGCATCTGGTAGAGCAGCTGTGTGTACAGCCCCGTGCCAGCTGACCACCATAATTCATTCACTTAGAGCTGCACAAAATGGACATATAATGCAAGTCATATATGTAATTTTATTTCTTAGTAGCCACATTTTAAAAGTTTTTGAAAGGTGAACTTAATTTTAATTATATGCTTTATTTAACCCAATATCTCCAAAATTTTGTCATCGTCAGTATAAAAATTTTAATAAAGTACTTTACATTTCTTTTTTTTCTTCTAAGTCTTTGAAATTCAGTATATATTTTACACTTACAGTACGTCTCAGTTTGGACTTGCCACATTTCAAGTGTCACGAGATTTACAGTCTGTTTCATTGTCAGTATATTCTGAATTTCTCTTGAGATTAACTACTGCTTTTTTTGGCATATATATAAAGTCCAAGGGAACAACCCATCTGGTCTTCAGGGTTTTTTTTGCTAGTTGCTTAAATTTAGCATTCTGCTATATATCAGGAATTTTCCATTTGATGGCTAACTTCAAATAATAGAAAATTCCATAAAACTACATATAACTACGGGGACAAAATGAATACTTTCCTTTGGTCTCGCATATTTTCCTTCAAATTTTTATATTATTTGCATTTGTAAAATAATACTGCTTAGCTTTCATATGTGGCTGTAGATAAATATAGGTTTCATTCTACAAAGAGAAACTTTTTTTAAGTGAAGAAAAGATTCTAGACCTGATGTACAAATTGTAGTAAATATATGATTTCTTCAGTAATTCTTCTTTTTCTTATTAAAGAAATTGCTCTTATAAATTTAAGTTTCACAGTGGAGAGTGAAATAGGGTAACCAGTAGATATAATGTTTGATAGACCCATACACTTCTCATGTTCTTGGCAGAATTTCAAGCATCATAGTTTCACATGTATAAATTTCATTATTCTTGAATAGCTCTTTACTCCATCATCTGTAACTAATTTTTTTTTCCTACAGCAAATATTTTTTGAGGGAGCACCATGAAATAAATCCTGTATTATATGATGTTACCTTCTTTGAGCCCTTCTAGGAGTCCTGTAAAATAGTTCTGAAGTCCATGGTCCCATCCTACCTTTCTTCCTCTTCATATAAACATTTTCTAAGACTTCTGTGTCCAAAAGTAGCTGCCGTTGTAACTCTGTGTTTAGTATAAATTGAGGCAGATTTTTTATTTTTATTTTTTGAGTTGGAGTCTCACTCTGTCACCCAGACTGGAGTGCAGTAGCCGCTCCCGGCCACCGCAGCCTCGACCTGAAGGGCTCCAGCAATCCTTCTGACTCAGCCTTCCAAGTAGCCGGAATTACAGGCATGCGCTACCATGCCCAGCTCATTTTTTATTTATTGTAGAGATGAGGTTTCGCCAAGTTGCCCAGGTGGGTCTTGAACCCGCGGGCTCAGGCAATCCACTCACCTCGGCCTCCCAAAGCACGGGATTACAGGCTGAGCCACCGAGCCTGGCCAAGGCAGATTTTTTTAAAAGGTCAAAATACTCTAGATTTGTTCTTTAAGAATTTACCTAATATGTAATGGTTTTTGTTTTTCCCAAGTCTGCATTATAATTTATTATGTTTTTAAAATCTGACCATCTCTTTAGACTGTTTACTTCGTACAGAAAATCTCAGAAGCATTTAGAGAGCCAACGCTGATAATATGTGACATTTGTATGATGAGAGCTATACTCAGATAAAAGAAGTATGCAGTTGGCTCTTATAGACAAAAGTTTTATTCCTAGAAATTATAACATATATGTTGTAATTTAGATGCATTTATAATATATGTATATATATATGCCATATAGCTAAGGCAGAAAAGGCAAAGTATCAAATACAAATGCATTTGAAATGCACAAACAAGACATTGGTTCTAGCACAAACATTAGATCTCTGAGAGTGAGCCCAGTGCTGCAGGTGTGAGAGGTATGAATTGGTATAGGGTTCCTTTCTTCCTTATAGTGAAAGGTAGTATTATCTGAGACCCACAAATACTGGAACATGTATGTAACCAATAAGTTGCTATGTATTTTGTTCTTTACAGTTTTGGTTTTTTTGTTTGTTTGTTTTTTAGGGGGGGTTGTTTTTTTGAGTAAGAGTCTCACTCTGTTGCCCAGGCTAGAGTGCAGTGGCATTTTCATGGACACCACAGCCTTGACTTACCGGGCCCAAGTGATCCTTCTGTCTCAGCCTTCCAAGTAGCTGGAATTACAGGCTCATTCCACCACTCCTGGCTAATCTTTTGATTTATTGTAGAGACGAGGTCTTGCCAAGTTGCCCAGGCTGGTCTCGAACCCCTGGACTCAGGTAGTCCTCTCGCCTCTGCCTCCCAAAGTACTGGAATTACAGGCATGAGCCACCACCTCCGGCCGTTCTTTACAGTTCTGTAGGATTCTTATCTTTCAATGTATGTATTTACTATTCAAGGTCTAGCTTAGATCAGGCTGCTATAAGAGCGTTCCACAGTATGGGTGACTTAAATGACAAAGATTTATTCTCACAGTCTGGAGGCTAGGAAAGCCAAGGCCAAGGTGCCAGCCAATTCTGTTCCTGGTAAGGGCTGTCTTGCAGATAGTTAACTTCTTGCTATATCCTACCATGAATAGAAGGAGAGAGAGAGAGAGAGAGAGAGAGAGGGAGGGAGAGAGGGGGAGACGGGGACAGGAGAGAAAAGAAGGAGGAGAAAGGAGAGAGAAAGATGAAAGCTCTCTGGTCTCTTGTTTTATAAGGTCACTAATCCCATCATGGGGGCCCCACCCTCATGACCTCATCTAAACCTAATTACCTCCTCAAAACCGAACCTCCTAGTACCATCATAGTGGGATTTAGGGCTTCAACATATAAATTTGTGGGGACACATTCAGTCCATAAATTCTTATAGCAAGTTTAGTAAACTTAAATCAGTTTAAACTAGCTTCATTACCTAGACCACCAATAGGTTATATACTGTAATCAATTATGAAAATATCATCCTTGGAATAGTCTTTCTGTTTTTTATGTTTATTATTGTCCTGCCTTGTGTTTGTTTACAAAAGTGTTCTTACATCTCACTTTTGCTTATATCATGTATCCTCATAACATTCCTGTGCTGTGAGCAGGTATAAAAGAATGAATAATGTGAGCATTCTTGTAAACAATAAAAAACATTACAAATATGAAGTATTACCATTCCTGTTTTATTTTTATTTTTATGGCTTCTATTTTCTTTTTTTTTTTTTTGAGTTGGAGTCTCACTCTGTTGCCCAGGCTGGAATGCAGTGACAAACTCACAGTCACTGCAGCCTCCACTTGCAGGGCTCAGGCGATCCTTCCGCCTCACCCATTCCAAGTAGCTGGAACTATAGACACACGCCACCATGCCCGGATGGTTCTTTTGATATACTGTAGAGACGAGGTCTCTCTAAGTTGTCTAGGCTGGTCTCGAACCCCCAGGCTCAGGCATTCCTTTCATCTCTGCCTCCCAAAGTGCTGGGATTACAGGCTGAGCCACTATGCCCGGCCTATTTTTATGGTTTCTTTTCTTCGCTTTGGATTCCTTTTTCAGATCAGAATCTCTCTCGCCATATACCACATGGCTGTCTACCATTTCAGACACAGATGCACTGCTGGCTGAATGGGGCAAAAGCGGTGTTGTTACTGTAGATATGGCAGGATGCATCAGGATGTGGGAAACCGGACTTGAACGTCTTCAGCGATCGCTCATGGAATGGAGAAACATGATTGGACAAGATGACAGACATATGCAGGTACCACTTGAATTTGCCCTACCTCTTGGAGGTGTGCATTCAGGTATAAATTTAGCTGCAAAAGCCACAGTAGAGAAAATTTCTAGCCCAATGACTCAAATATAGCTACTTAGATAGCTTAGACAATTTTTGGACTCAGAAAAACACAAATCTCTCTCTCCGTTCCGCTACATAGTGAAAAAGTTAAAATGTGCCTTTTTTTCTGTCAGTGCTTAAATGTACAGGTTACTGATGTCACAATATGTAAATACAGTCATCAACTTTTGATTTTTAACCTTAAGCATTAACCAGTTTTCAGCACCAACTTTGCATCTGTTCTCATGTTTATTAGCATTGTTGTCAGCATCTCTACATGCTACCTAGGAAACAGAAACATTGAGGATCTAGATACAGCACATTATTACAAGGCCCGAACCTATAAACTAGAAAAGGTAAGCTAAATTATGCATCCAATAGAGCGTTTTTCACCAGCTGCCTTATTTCTAGTAATGCAAATTTAGTCATCACAATAAGTAGACCTTGGGCTACACGGGAGAAAAATATGGGAATAGGCCACCAAATTGAAAGGAAACCCCACAACTCCAGAAATGACTCAGTCATCACCTAACCTAGTTGCTGTCTGGAGCCAATTTGAAGAAATTAGGAGGGTTGTATACTCATATATACTAAAGCATATAATAAAATAATTTATTTCATAGGAAGGGTGGAGGGGTGTGGGCCTCAGGCACCACTCTGGGAAGTCTAAGTCTCTGTTTATAAAATGATTTATTTGCAATTTATTTATCTTAATCTTTGGAACAAAACTTTTCTATTTTCATTTCATTCTTTTTTTTCTTTAGATTAAAGAATATGGTTTATTTAGAAAGTAAATTATAGAGAGAGAAAAAGAGGTGATTCACCTCCCCAAGGTAGGGGAGGGAGCCAAAGCTTAAGAAAGCATGGCCTGGCCATGGCTCAAAGAGCACATGGCCACACCATAGCTTAGCAAAGCCTACTTCATTCTTATCTAACATAAAGACAGATAGGTTCCTGCCAACCATATTGTTCTGCAAAGAGCCAATTAACAACATAAGAAGAAACTTCTACAAACTATTTCATCAATACCTGATTAATAATTATTATTTTATGTGATTACTTGTGATTGTCCTTAAAATATAAATAGATATATTTGTGAATGAATAATACATATTTCTCTTAGATACTTAAAAGCTTATAGGAACATTTTTAAAATCTCAAACCAAAGTAGACTAGCAACCTCAAATCCCTTTGAAGGAGTATAAATATACTCCTTTAATTAAGCTAAAACAAATAGATTGCTCTAAAATAAACATGTCAATAAGTGCAATGGATCTATTACAGCAACAGACAGAATGTTGATCACTATCCATAATAATATTTAGACAACTCATTGATTATGGCCTGTTTCTTTTATTATTCTAAACATTAATTTCTTCACTTTTTGAATTAAGCACCTGACTTGACTATTGTGAAAATTGTCTCCTATTTATATTTTAACCTCATAGTACTTCTCTTCCAGTGACTTATCTGACTTATTGTGTATCTTTGTATTCCTAGCTTCCATCATAGTGATTGCTTCACAATAAGCAATTAATATATTTGTTTATGCTCACATCTCTATATATGAAATTATACTGGTGGTTGAAACTATTTGACAATTAATGGAATTCTTCCTTCAAATTATCACAAATTATCTATTTGTTTTCAAGTAACTGAATAAGTATTTATTAAATGGATATATGTTAAGTTAGAAATGAACAGAATTACAGTATCTAACATCCCAAGAATAATCAAATATTTAGCCATATTATGCAGTACAATATCTGAACTTTCTCCAAATCAAAAATTTCCTAGGAAATGTATAACTTGGTGTCTCCAATTTAAAGTTTAGCTATGACAAATATAAGACCTATCTAGTAATAAAGTTATGTAATTCAGAATTGAATGAGAATTTCAATTGGAAAATTAGCATAGATGTTATCTAACCTTATCCTTTGATCTCTAAGGTTCCTTGATCCAATTTAGTTGATATGGAATACGTATACTTATATACATACTCAAACTGAGAGATAAATTATGAGTATGTATCTTCATGTTTAAACAGGCAGAATTAATTGTCCAAATAGTCTGTCATTGCTTTAACTTCTTGTTATATCTCTCCTCTTCCTTCTCACTGTCATGATAAATTGGGAGGCGCTTATTTAATTATTTAATTTACACCAGCTAATCTTGTTGTTGTTGTTACTATTATTATTTTAAAGATGTGGAGTACAGTTCAGGATTAGTTATACAGGTGGTCATTTTATAGGTAAAGTTTAGGCCTCTCATTGGTTCCCATTTTGCATGGTTTGAGATCAGCTACGCTTATTGATGTTATGTACCTCCTCCCCCATCCCCTGGCAGTGGCCCACTACTGCCAATTCCTTTCTTATAGTATTATGGTAAATGTTGGGCATCCGCTTATAAGTGAGAATGTGGTACTTAGTTCTTTGTTTCTGTGATAGGTCACTGAGTATTATAGTCTCTAAATCCATCCAAGTTGCTGCAAAGTAATCTTAGTATTTACAAGTAGTTTTCACAACCAAATCTAAATAGGACTCATTCCAAGGGGCAATGATAATAACAAGCAAATATTTGTTTTTTACAGTTCCCTTTCTGTTCTATTCTTCAAGTTAGTCTTAATTTATGTACTCTTTATTCAGCATAGGTCTGCTCCTGATTTTTGAGTTTGGAAAATGCCTTTCATGGAAGTATTGAATAAAGAGAATAGATTCTCTGTACCCTGCTTGCTTCTTACTTGCTAGCTGCAAGCAACTTCCCTTGTTACTGGCAGAGTAACCTGATCTCCATCTAGTGGCCAGATAGACTTACTTTACCTCATGGAAATTAACAGGAGGCCTGCTTACACTCCAGTAGTTTGACTCAGCCCAGGACTAGAGGCACTGGAGGCTCACACACTCCTGTCATGTGTGGTTTCATTTGGGGTCAGCAGTGAAGGCTGGGCAAATAGTCTGCCAAGCCATCTGCCACGTAGGATGCCATCCTCCTCTGATTCCTCTGCTTGGTAACAAAAGAACTAACTGTCCATATTTAGATAAACAGTATAGTTACATGCTTTGTTACTACCCTTTATGTCTTTGCTATATCTCAGCCTTCTGGCATTATTAGCTTTGCCATAGTTGATTTGAGTTTTTGTTCTGGTTTAATGAATTCTTTGATATTTTTCTTTAATGAGTACAGCTTGAAGGAAAGTATTTATTGAGCTCAACATATAAAATGTGTTCATTAATTTTACATACTTTGACAGGAACATGTGTTTTTCCTGTAATAAACAACTATGATAACGAACTCCAAGTATTACTATAAATGTACTTTTTTTTTTTTTGAGTTGGAGTCTCATTCTGTCACTCAGACTGGAGTGCAGTGGCCGCTCCCGGCCACTGCAGTCTCAACCTGCTGGGCTCTGGCGATCCTTCTGCCCAACCTTCCATGTAGGTGGAACTACAGGCATGCGCTACCACGCCTGGCTAATTTTTGATTTATTGTAGAGATGAAGTCTCACAAGTTTCCCAGGCGGGTCTCGAACCCGCGGGCTCCGGCAATCCACTCATCTCGGCCTCCCAAAGCACTGGATTATAGGCTGAGCCACCGAGCCCAGCCTAAATGTACTTCTAAGAGTTCATTATTAAGAATTCATATTTATTACTTTTAGATTCATTTTCAGAAGCATAGTTTAATTATAGGACAAAATTCTTCTGACTATATTTAATAGTATATTTTTATTTATTTGTATTTGTATTTTTGCAAAAATGTCTGTTAAAGCTGCACCAAGGTTTTTATCAGAAATCAAATAATCTCTTCTAAAAGACTGTCAGTGACTATTCTTGTGGGAGCAAAAAGACTGAAAAGTTACAGCTTTTAAATATTATTTTTTAATTACAGTAAACAAATCAGAAGTGATTCCTCCATATATTGCTGGTAGAATCTCTTTTGACTTTTGAATAGTACTTTCTTAAGTGTATGCTTTAGAAATGGATAATTGTGGAAAACAGTGTGGCGATTCCCAAAAGATCTAAAAATCGACCTTCCATATGACCCTGCAATTCCCCTACTAGGAATATACCCGGAAGAACTCAAATCACTCTATAAAAAAGATACCTGCACACATATGTTTATCACAGCCTTGTTCACAGTAGCAAGAACATGGAACCAACCATAGTGCCCATCAAAAAAGGACTGGATTAAAAAAAAGTGGTACATATACACGATGGAATATTACGCAGTCATAAAGAGCAAAATCATGAACTTCACAGCAACCTGGATGGACTTAGAGTCTATAATACCGAGTGATCTTTCACAGAAACAAATAACTGAATATCACATGTTCTCACTCATAAGTGGACCTTGAACAAATATCATAATATTATAAGAGAATGATTGGCAGTAGTGAAACTGCTGGGGGTGGGGGGACGGGGGAGAACCAGGGAAGTGGGATTGGCAGTAGTGGGAATCTGCCTGGGGAAGGGAGGGGGTACACCTCATTAACAAGGGTACCTGCATAATGAACACTTGTATACCTAACCCTGAATTGTACCCCACATCTTTAAAATAAAAAATAATAATAAAAGAAGAAAAAAAAAAGAAATGGATAGAATCTTCTCAAACACAGTGTGGGACTGGAACTTTTTCATCTTTATAGTTAAGACAGTGCCTGGTACACAGGAGGCATAAAACCAATATTTGAAAAAAAAAGGGGAGAGGCATAGAAAGAAATACATGGGAAAGGTAACTAATCTATAGTAACCACTATTAATCCATTTCTCCTTTTAAAGGGAATATTCTAGGACTGAATAAATGCATTTTGTTGTACTTAAGTAACTAAGCTTGGTCTTTTCTTTAACCACTAGTCCAACAATTATGATTTTTTAAAATATCAGTAGGATGTTAAAGTCTATTTCCAGTTTGGGGAATCATTAGATTATTTAATTGGCTCTCTACTGGTAAATTTACAAGCTAAGTTGTCTCCAGATCCTCTGTGGGGCTTTGTTCTTTTTAAGAAGCATGCTCCACTCTTATCCTTCATTCGTTGCTTTGCTCAGTAACTCTAAATGTACTTAATAGTCTTATTCAGTGGGTCATTGTCATAGAATAATCCATATTTTTTGTTTTTTGAGTTGGAGTCTCACTCTGTCACCTAGACTGGAGTGCAGTGGCCGCTCCCAGCCACTGCAGCCTCGACCTGCTGGGCTCCGGCGATCCTTCCGCCTCAGTCTTCCAAGTAGCCGGAATTACAGGCATGCGCTACCACCCCAGCTGATTTTTTGATTTATTGTAGAGATGAGGTCTCGCTGCCCAGGCGGGTCTCGAACCCGCAGGCTCAGGCAATCCACTCACCTCAGCCTCCCAAAGGCGC